CAAGCATGATCGTGCCTCCAGCACAGTGCACCTGCAGCCAAGGCACTCCCAAAGCGAGCATGACGCGCACCTGCACCATCATCACCATCACCAGCACCACCAGCACCACCAGTACCACCCTGCACCACCCGCACCACCGTTCGCCGCGACGTCGTCTTCGTCTTCGTCGTCGTCGTCGTTGTCATCGTCGTCGTCGTCGTGGTCGAGTTATCCGCCGCCGGCTCGTCCAACGCCTACCGTGGACGAGACGAAACGAATCGAGAGGCCTGACCTTGTCCAGCCGAAGAAATTCGCACCGAGACCCACCTACGAGCACCGGGCAATCTTCGATCGCGCCGACGACGACCTCGATGACGAGTTCAGGATCGGCGCGCTACCAGTCGACCGGCTCTTCGATCTCCGCGAGGCCTTCGAAGGGTTCGTCGACCAAGGTTCGTACACCGGTGTCAAGGTGCGCCAGACACCATCGATCGCGGCTCCTCGGCCAATCGAGCGCCGCCGCCGTCGCGTCGTTGCTCGCGTATTCTCGCCCGCCAGAAAGTACCAAGTCGCCGTCTTCCAAACTATTTACTTTCTCGCTCGTCCGTATCTCTCATTGGCTAGCCTTCGATTTCGGACTTGTCCGCAGGGCGACTTGTTACTTTTAACAAACGCAGACGAATGCAGCCGCGCGGAGCGCAACGAGTTGTCGAGATCGAATCGAAAGATCGAACTATGTATCGATCCGATTGTTCTCCAAGTGTTGCGTCGGCTCCGCTTCCCACCGGCGGCTCGTTAATTTATTAAAACCAGTCGCCACTGTTTGGAAAATCGCAGCAACCTGCTTTCGGGAAAGTACATCTACTCGCCCTGCGACAACAACGTTGACAAGAAATTTGTCTCGATCGTTCCGCGTGAGTCTTCTCGACCGAAAGTATAATGATTGAGTGCTTGATCGAGACATTGCTGAATCGACTATGACGATCTGTCATCAGATGCATCAGAACGACTGAAACACGTAGAAACGTATTTTGCCATTGCACTCTTGTAGAACGCGAAATTTTTAAAAATTTTTACGGAGGTCGACCACGTACTTTGTGAAATTTGAAAATTCCACATGTGGCAGTGTGAACGCGTCGTTAAGTTAAAATCAATGTCCGACGATCGCGTGGGAATTTGACGACCGGTCTTTCGCCCCGAAATTTAAAGGCTGCCGACCCTTTAAGAAGGATCGATCTCCTTTAACCTAGCGACGCCGGCGAACATTTTCCAAAATAGTTTCGACGAAACATTTTTCACCGGCGTTCCCTGCGCCGCGTCACAGGTCGAAGAGAGTCCGCTTGGAGCTAGGTCGCT